TCCGGCTCATCAGGTAAGCTTCATTTAGGGAAAGGGAAGTCATACACATCCTCTTACTTTTACCATATTAGGATTAATGTGGTCTCTAGGCACAAGCCAAGGACTGAAATCTTGTGCATTTTGGGCTGTATTCCATATTACTATCTCATTTGAAGGGCAGGAGCTCGTATCCAACGTATTGGGATGGTTGGAAGCAAAAGGAAAGTTCCTTGGTATCAAAGGGGATGTGAGTGGCCAAGCAGGAGAGGTGTGGCAGATCATGGAATCATAGAATCAGCCAGGCTGGAAAAGCCCTTTAAGCTCATTCAGCCCAACCGTTCCCAGCCCTGCCAAGGCCACCACTAACCCATGGCACTGAGGCCTCGTCTCCACGCTGTGTGAACACTTGCAGGGACGGTGACTGCAGCCCTGCCCTGGGCAGCCTGTTCCAATGCCTGAGCACCCTCTGGGGAAGGAATTGTTCCTCAGCTCCATCTAAACCTGCCCTGGTGCAGCTTGAGGCCGTTTCCTCTTGTCCCATCCCTTGTTCCTTGGGAGCAGAGCCCAGCCTCTCCTGGCTCCATCCTCCTCTCAAGCAGTTGTAGGCAGTGATCAGGTCCCCCCTGAGCCTTCTCTTCTCCACACTGACCCCCCCAGGTCCCTCAGCCCTTCCCCATCACACTTGTGCTCCAGGCCCTGCACCAGCTCCACTGCCCTTCTCTGGCCCCACTCCAGCACCTCAATGTCTCTCTTGCAGTGAGGGGCCCAGAACTGAACACAGGATTCAAGGTGCAGCCTCACCAGTGCCCAGTGCAGGGGCACAGTCACTGCCCTGGCCCTGCTGCCGCACTGGTGCTGGTACAGGCCAGGATGCTGGTGGCTTCCTGGCTGCCTGGGCACAAGCTGCTCACGTTCAGCTCCATCATTCAGCACCCCCAGGTCCTGTTCCATGAGCAGTTTCCAGCCACTCTTCCCCAAGCCTGGAGCGTTGCAGGGGGTTGGTGTGGCCCAAGTGCAACAAGACGCTGTTAAAGGGAGAAGCAGGAAATACTGTGGAATACCAGGATCAACCAGAACCCCCATGAATCAGAAACATTAAGGATAAAATTAAGACAAGATTGCAATGACCAGGAGAGTTTCTGATTCCCAAGTTACCACCTGCTGCCCGGAATCTTTGAGTTGAGCTGTGGTTGGGATGAGCTGGCTGTGAGATGAGGCACAGAGAGAGGAGGAACCCAAAGAAGCACCCGCTAAATCAGGAGGCAGCAGTCAAGGGGCAGCAAGACCCGAGAAGCCAAAGGAGGGTTTGATGCTTGGAGAGAAAGAACCTGGTTGGCAGCTGATGACCAGTTTGTAAAAACTCACTGGGAACAGGAGGAAAAAATGGTTTCAATATATATGTTATATATCATATATATTATATGAATATTATATCTAATATTGATTATATTATATCCAGGGAGCAGCTGAACTGGATGGAGGTGAGAACAATACCAGAGACAGGGAGAGGATGAAGGGAGGAATGTGTGAAGGGGATTGAAGTTAAAGGAAAAGCAGCACATCCCTTTGTGCATGGAAGGTTTGACTTTATCCAACTAATGCCATTTCCTTTCTGTGGTGAAACCAGAATGTGTGTGCGGGTCTCACAGCACAGCATTCCCTAGGATCAGAAAGCTGTCTCAGGCAGATTGCAGGCTCAGAAAGGGTCTCTGAGAACAAAACTCTTTAAAAGCTGCTGTGGGAGGGATTTGGAGTGGGAGAAGATGAATATCCCTTCCCCTAGAGACACACTTGAGCCATCAGAGAAGAGCAGGATCCATGTATAGCCCCAGCTCCTGCAGCATTGTGCTTCTGCTGCAGAGTGCAGCTTGTCCTGATGCCCAAGGCAGAAATCCTGCAGATATTACCATTTCCTAGTGCTGTGGATCCCACAATCTGACCAAAACCTGCCTGACCGGAGGGGGAAACTGCTACTTGGGCAAAATCCTGACCCTGAGTTTGGTCCCGGCTCAGTACAGGATCTTCTCCACACTCACCCCCCTTTCTCCTTTTGGAATGATCAAGCCATCAGAGCTTGCCAAAGCTCCAGCAAACACCCCACACAACCAGAGCAATATGCTGGGCTGGGCTGGAGGATTTATCTGGGAAAACAAGGGCTATCAGGAGAGGAAGGAGGAGGCCGTTTGGTTTGAGGGAGGATGGAGCAGTTGAAACAATTGGGGCTCTGTGAGAGCCTGGCTCCTTCCCTATGTGCAGCACGGCACAGGCACCGGAGACGGGCAGCAGGGCAGGGGTGCTGCTGCCTGGGAGAGGTGGGACACCTTCACACAGAGCAGCCTTTGAGAGGTGAGTCTGTGCCTTGAGAGACGTGGCTGCGTGTAGATCTGCATGGGTGATGGGCTGGTTTCTGCTACCAAGGGTAGAATCAGAGAATCATGGAATGGTTTGGGTGGAAGGGACCTTGAAGCTCCTCCAGTTCCAACCCCCTGCCATGGGCAGGGACACCTTCCACTAGAGCAGCTTGCTCCAAGCCCCTGTGTCCAACCTGGCCTTGAACACTGCCAGGGATGGGGCAGCCACAGCTTCTCTGGGCACCCTGTGCCAGCGCCTCAGCACCCTCACAGGGAAGAACTTTTTCCTTATCTCCAACCTGAACTTCCCCTGTTTCAGTTTGAACCCATCACCCCTTGTCCCATCACTCCAGTCCCTGATGAAGAGTCCCTCTCCAGCATCCTTGTAGCCCCCTTCAGACACTGGAAGCTGCCCTGAGGTCTCCATGCAGCTTCTCTTCTCCAGGCTCAACAGCCCTAACTTTCTCAGCCTAAGGATGACCACAAAAATGAAGTTAAGATAGACAGGAGTCAGATAGCTGCAGGATCCTGGAACGGAGGCGGGGCATCTGAGGTGTGTGGTGATGCTGGGCACCTGACTGGGAGGAAACCAGGCTAGTTACTGGGTCAGCAGAGCACAAACAGACCTTCCCAGTCTGGATTTGCCCATTCTTGTGATGTTCAATCCTAAAAGCAGCCCTGGAACATGGAGCCAGCAGCCAGATGTGTGCTGGGGTTTGGGATGGCGGGCAGGAGTGCTCGTATGGATCCTTTGTGCCTCCTTGATCCCATTTAAAGGGAACAGAACAGCCCTGTGGCATATGAAGATCCAGCTGCAGAGCTCACCCAGCACCACTACAAAGGCTGAAGCTTCCAGACACGAAGAAAAGGGGGAAAAAGGATATTTCTATGGAAGTTTCTCAATTCAAGATTCCAATACCCCACTGTAAGATGAAAGACATGGTTGTGCTCTCACTGTGATATATACAATCCCAAACCAGAAGTCAACACCACCCTACAACATCAGTTCTTCTAACTACACCTCTGGGATAACAGATAGGAATATCAGCTGATTCAGCCCATCCCCACCTAATGGCATTTGGATATTTGATAGGAGCAATCCCATTTTCCTGCAGTTATTGATTTGTTCTGGCCACGTCCCCAGGACCAGCCCACGCTGTAGTAGTTTTGACTCATTTAATTACAGCAAAGGCAATCAGATGGACCGACAGTGCCAACGTCTGTCCCCAGGGGCAAATGGTTAAATGTATTCCTCATGAATAGGATCCACATTCCTTAGAAACTTCCTGCCTGGCCCTGATGAACACTCTTGGGCTGTTCAGATGGGAGACCCTCTGTGGTTTCATCTCCTGCACCTCCAAAACCACTTAAAGGCAGAACATTGGGATAGGGATGCCCACGAGTGTGGAATTCCTCTCACCACACTTAATTTATATGAAGTCTTTGCAGTCTTCACTTGTCAGTTACAGCCTCTCACTGAGCACAGCACAGGGGATGCCTGACAGATGGACAGACTCATGCACAACACTTTGGGGGTGCTGGGTAAGGAGAGGCTCCCCAAGACCTGGCTTCAGTGTGCACTTGAGCCCAGAACCCCCCCATGTGCTGGGCTGCACCCCAAGAGCGTGAGCAGCAGCTCAGGGAGGGGATCCTGCCCCTCTGCTGTGCTCCGGGGAGACCCCCCCTGCAGTCCTGATCCAGCTCTGGGGCAGCAGCACAAGAGGGACGTGGAGCTGTTGGAGCGAGTGCAGAGGAGGCCATGGAGATGCTGCGAGGGCTGGAGCAGCTCTGCTCTGGAGCCAGGCTGAGAGAGCTGGGCTGGGTCAGCCTGGAGAAGAGAAGGCTCCTGAAGGGGAGACCTTAGAGCAGCTCCAGTGCCTAAAGGGGCTGCAGGAAAGCTGGAGAGGGGCTTTGGCCAAGGGCCTGTAGGGACAGGCCAAGGGGAATGGCTTTAACCTGCCAGAGGGGAGACTGAGATGAGCTCTTAGGCAGAAGCTCTTCCCTGTGAGGGTGCTGAGGCGCTGGCACAGGGTGCCCAGAGAAGCTGTGGCTGCCCCAGCCCTGGCAGTGTTCAAGGCCAGGTTGGACACAGGGGCTTGGAGCAAGCTGCTCTAGTGGAAGGTGTTCCTGCCCGTGGCAGGGGTTGGAACTGCGGGAACTTTAAGGTCCCTTCCAACGCAAACCATTCCATAATTCTATGATCCCTGTGCCCGGCAGTGATGGTTTCCAGCACGGCCAGTGGCTGCTGAGCAGCTCAGTGGCACCCACAACCCAATAGACCCCTCTGGTGCCTCATGGGTCAGCCATCGCTGTGAGGAATGGTACCACAATGGGGGATCCATACCAGCTCTGGGGATTTTCAGGGATCCTATCCCAAGTTTTCTGCTCCATTTGTAAGAAAGACCTGACCGAGGTATTAATGTCAACTACCTTCCACCTTTATTATTTCCATAAAGGACAATTAGGAGGGAAGCTGTGACCACCTCAGGGCGCAGCAGGAAGGCGCTACCACCCCCCTACAAAATGGCAACGCGGCTCCTTTAAGGAACGCCCTCACCCCCGGACCTGCCTCAGCCCCCATGAGGTCTTCCCTCACCTCCGCAGCCTATGGGCGTTGAGCGTCAGCTCCGCAGGCCAATCAGAACGCAGAGCGTGCCCTGAGGCGGCGGGACTTCCGGCGGGTGTCCCCGTGGCGGTGCGGCTCGGAGGGAAGAGGGTGACGGGCGGCGCCATGATTAAGAAGTTTGACAAGAAGGACGAGGAGTCCGGTATGGGGCTGGCGGCGGCAGGGCCGAGCTGAGGGGAGGGGGCACGGCGGCACCGCCCTGTGCGGAGCGATCGGTAGGCGCTCAGAGCGTCCCGCGGCTTGTAGCGGCCGCTGAGGTGAGGGAGGAAGTAAGTAAGTAAGTCATGGCCGCTGAGGTGAGAGGGGGTAACTGCTGGGGAAGGAAGCACCGTTTGCTTTCTGTGCCCAGGCGTTTGAGCCTCCCCCGGCTCTTCGGGACGGTCTGCGGGGTGCAGGGCCCGCACCGGCCCCTGGGGTCACGCTTGGAGGGAAGCTGTTCCCCGCAAGCCTGCGGGCTGCGGCTGGGTCTGTTCCTCCTTCATAGCATGAGAAGGAGAGGGTTTGGTCGGGGTCTGCACCTCCGCCTGGTAAGCTGGGCAGCAGCTGGCTGCGTGCACTGGGGTTTAGGCTGCGTTAGCACCGGCTGTAGTAAAGTACCCTGTGGGCGGGATAAAACCATCCCGTCAGGCAGAGTTGTTGTGGATGAGGCCATCGCTTGCACTTTTTCCCTCCATGAAACCTCCTGGAAATTAAGTTTAGGTTCCTGTAGTAACTGATGCTGCAGGTTGTGTGGAGAGCTGACGCAGAGCATCCCTGCGGAGAAGGATTTGGGCGTATTGGTCCATGAGAAACTGAACATGACCCGGCTTCAGTGTGTGCTTGAGCCCAGACACACACACCCCACCCCCCCCCCCCCGTGCTGGGCTGCACCCCAAGAGCATGTGCAGCTTAAGATGATCTTAAGGTCCTTTCCAACTCCAGCCATTCTGTGATTCTGTGCTGTCTTGAGTTATATGTTGCTGCTGCTGATAGGTCTTCTGAGCCCAGCTGGACTGAGAGACATTTCGTTCTCAATTTCCTTTTGCTTTGGATGTAAGAAGTGAAGAATAAATGAGCTGAAAAGGAAAAATCTCTGCTGAAGGAAAAGGGTTAGAAGCAGTAGTGAGGGTTTGGAGGGGGTTATGTATCTGCAACAGTGGCTGTTAGGGCTGGTTTCACTGGGAATGGATTAGAAGGCTGCTGTCTGCAGCTGACAATAGCAAGTGTCATCACCAATAAGTTATTACTCTCAAGGGCTGGTTCTGGCCTGTTGAAAGGCTGAGGTGTTACAGGATGATGATACTCTGCTGCTAATGATTTTGTGATGTGTGGAAGCCAGACTCTATTTGGAGCTTGCTGAGTAGCCCATTTTAGTGGATACTTGATTGATGCACTTCTGTTTGAGATCCAGATCATTAGCTCTGTCCTGATGCCTTCAGTGCTTTCTGTGCCTGAAGGAATAAAAATAGGGGTACTAGGGAAAAATAGAGTAAATGGCTTTATGTAAAGAGGGAGTATTACACTGTTCTTCCTTGCCTTCCAGCTACGTTGGTACTGCTTCCTCCACACCTTTTCCTCCTGTACCTGTGAATATACCGCTGAGGAAAGTGGATTCAAAGCTCTTGGTGGAGAACATCAGGGATTTCACTGTAGCATGGGGTGGTTTTTTAAAGTTTAGGGACTGTTCCTCCAGTTCGTTTTTTTTGTTGTTTTTTTTTTTTTTTTTTTGTGAGGAATGCATTTCCTTAACTGAGAGGTCTCTTTTGTTCCTCAGGTAGTGGCTCTAATCCTTTCCAGCATTTGGAGAAGAGTGCTGTGCTGCAGGAGGTATGAATGGTCATCAGACTGTTGAACTCTTTTCCTTCAGAGTGTGTTAGCAGCTTGAGGAAGTTCTGCGCTGCAGCTCCCAAATTTGAATGGCTGTATTCAAACAGTTAATTTAAAAGCACGGGGTATGTAAATTAAATGCACATGGCTTGAGAGCAGCCCTGAGGGGAAGGATTTGGGTTGCTGGGTGACAAAGCTCTCCATGACCCGACTTCAGTGTGTGCTTGAGCCCAGAATCCCCTCTGAGTGCTGGGCTGCACCCGCACAGTGTGAGCAGCAGGTCAGGGAGGGTGCTGAGGTGCTGGCACAGGGTGCCCAGAGAAGCTGTGGCTGCCCCATCCCTGGCAGTGTTCAAGGCCAGGTTGGACACAGGGGCTTGGAGCAAGCCTCTCTAGTGGAAGATGTCCCTTCCTGTGGCAGGGGGTTGGAACTGGATGAGCTTTAAGGTTCCTTCCAACTCAAATCAGTCTGGGAGTCTATCAAGTTAGTCTCTGAGGGGTTTATCTGTAGTAACCCAGGCACAGCTACAGGTTGGGCAGGGAAGAGATTCAAAGCAGCCTTGCGGAGAAGGACTTGGGGGTGTTGGTTGATGAGAAAATGAACATGAGCTGGTAGTGTGCGCTTGCAGCCCCAAAAGCCAGCCGTATTCTGGGCTGCATCAAAAGGAGCGTGATCAGCAGGAACTCTTGGAACAAGTCCAGAGAAGGGCCATGAGGATGATCAGGGGACTGGAGCACCTCCCATATGAAGACAGGCTGAGAAAGTTGGGGCTGTTCAGCCTGGAGAAGAGAAGGCTGCGTGGAGACCTCATAGCAGCCTTCCAGTATCTGTAGGGGGCCTATGGGGATGCTGGAGAGGGACTCTTCATTAGAGACTGTAGTGACAGGACAAGGGGTAACCGGTTAAAACTTAAACAGAGGAAGTTTAGGTTGGATATAAGAAGGAAATTCTTTCCTGTTAGGGTGGTGAGGCACTGGAATAGGTTGCCCAGGGAGGTTATGAATGCTCCATCCCTGGCAGTGTTCAGGGCCAGGTTGGACCGAGCCTTGGGTGATACGATTTAGCGTAAGGTGTCCCTGCCCATGGCAGGGGGGTTGGAACTAGATGATCTTAAGGTCCTTTCCAACCATAACTATTCTATGATTATCTGTGGCTTATGCCCTCCATGTGGACATGTGAGATCTCGGGGTGCTCTTACTGGTGTCTTCCATGTTTCCCTATGTTCATTCGACCTACTGTGTGTAGCAGGTTTTCCTGCTTCTCTTTGTGTTCTCCAGGAATAATTGCTAGTGATGAAGTGACTCTGTTGTGAAATAATGCTGAATTTTGTTGGTTGCAAGTAGCTAAAAGAAGTGTTCCTACTGTCAAGTAGTGTTTGGGCTACAGATGCTGTTGAAAGATGAAGTTGTTAGTTTGCTAGTTCCAGAGGGTACCAGTTGTCATTTGCTCAGGCTGCTGCCCATCCAGCAAACTAAATATGCCTGAGCTGGATGACAAGAATATGTTCTCTGGGACACATTTTTAGAATGAAAAGCTACTTGGTTGAAAACAAACGGCTTTACTTTTTATGATGAAAGAGAAATGATGATTGTTGAGTTACACTGTAATACTCTCTTTATGCTGTGTCTGTAGGCTCGTATCTTTAACGAGACCCCTATAAATCCACGAAGATGTCTGCACATCCTTACCAAAATCCTTTACTTGCTGAACCAGGTAAGTGTTATCATTTCTTCCCAGCCAGAATGAATATTCCCAAGGCTAATATAAGGAAGAAGTTCTTTACTGTGAGGGTGATGAGGCCAGAGAAGTGGTGAATGTTCCATCCTTGGCAGTGTTCAAGGCCAGGTTGCACAGAGCCTTGAGAGACATGTCTAGTGTGAGGTGTCCCTGCCTTTGGCAAGGGGTTGGAACTGGATGAGCTTAAGGTCCTTTCAAAGCCAAGCCATTCTGTGATGCTGTGATTCTAATTTCTGATAGCTTTCAGTGTGAAAGAAGTTTTGTACCTCTTCCTGACAGATTTGGGAGGTAGCTTTTTAAGGAGATCCAGAATGGGGTGTTTATGCTTTAGTATTATGTTCTTCCCTCTGACTTGCTGCTAACTGGAGTGAGATACATATCACTGAAGCATTTAATACTTTTTCCATGAGTGCCAAGTGAGAGCTGCTGCTTGATCTGTGGCCATCACAGCCCTGTGCAATGAAAGAGACACTTGTGTTTGCCCAGCTAAAGTGGGAATGGCTGAGACGAAGTGAAAACATAGGCCAAGAAGTGATGAGGTAGAAGGGTGTCTTTTTGTCTGGGGCTAAATTAGAAGCATGATAAGAAAGATTTTCTTCAGATGTTTATGTAGATCAGGTTTCGTGTGTGTCAGGTTGTATTTAACATCAAAGTAGGTTGGACCTCTGCTGTTCAGTCTTAATTCAGGCAGCAAGTAGATCCCTTTTAGGTAAGACAAAACCAAGGATGCCAGAAAAGGGAGCACAGGCTACTTAACAAACTGTTCCATTGCTGTACAGCTATGGATGGCATTTGTTGAAACCAAGTAGCTAGTAGTGGTAAATTTGACAGGTACTCCTCAGGAAACACGAGGTGAGGGAGGGATGGTTTCTAACATGAGAAAAAGCCTCAAAGCAAAGATCCTTGGTGTGTGGGTAGGTGTTAAAAATGGAGGCTGAAAGGTGGAGGCAGCTCAGTAACAATGGTGATTTTTCTCTTGCTTCTTATGTGCTGTTTTCAGGGTGAACACTTTGGAACCACTGAAGCCACAGAAGCTTTTTTTGCAATGACCAGATTATTTCAATCCAATGATGTAAGTACCTGGTTGTTTAGCACTTGCTGCCTCCCTGCTTTTGTCTGAATTTGTGGTAACTACAGATTACATCCAACTACAGTTGGATGTTGGGATGTGGGAGGTGAGCACTTCAAAGAACAAGCTCTGCACGCCAAGTACTAGCTGGAGGCAAGTCATGGTCTGGAAACAAGTGACTGAATAATAACACACAGTTACTTCTGCAGGTTGTATTTGGTGCTGGGTTTATTCTTTTCTGCATTGAATTACTGTTCTAAAGCATGTGAATCATGACAAAAGCCTTTAATATACAAATCAGTATCATTTTATGACTGTTTCTTACACTTACAAATAATCACCATCTGCTGAACTCAAAGTAGAATTTAAAAGTTGCCTGTAGACTAAATCCAGCTATTCCCTAGAACAGCTTGCTCTATTCAGGAATCACCATGGAGTCAAGGGGTGAGAACATCCTAAGAAAGCTAGATTAAACTTTGGATTTAGCCCAGTGTAAATTCCTTCTCTGATCTCTTTTGCAGAGTGTAAGAACTCAGAAGAGTTTTTATTCATTAATTTTTGTTCACTATAAACTGGCACCTCAGGTGTTTAGAGATTTGACTGAGGAATGTTGAACATGGAACTGTGTTGGAACTACAGAGTGCTTGGGACCTTTCTCATATCCATGTGTTGGAAGGGCGGGAGGGGTGGTTGATGTAAATGTGTTATTTGCTTTCCAAGAGTTAAAGTGTCAGTGCTCTTTGGATATTTGCTTTACAATAGCAAATAGATCAGAGGAAGTTGGGTTTAAAGCTTTTAAGTGATAACTGTGAGGCTTCTGCATTCAGATGTTTCACTTCTATCATGATTAACGTGGATTTTTGGTTTTAGTCTTATCTTACAAGATAGAGATATGTTTATTCTCCTGATTTGTTTGATAACTGACAGTAAGGCTATTCCCCAGTTATCAAACACAATTTAACTTGTGTGCTTTGTACACCACTGCTTTATCTTTGTATAGAAGTGGGGAAGAGGGTGTTCTATTTAAAAGCTTGCTCAAAATTTAAAGTTGAATATTTGAACTTTTATTTAACTTCAAAACTTGTAGGAAGTGTTTATTTATGCTTGCCATTAATAGTTTTCTGCACTACATTTTCACAGCAAACCCTTAGAAGAATGTGTTACTTTACCATCAAAGAGATGGCCAATATTTCTGAGGACGTCATCATAGTCACAAGCAGGTAGTAGAACCACAGACAGCACAGTATCAGAGCTCCTAAACAAGTAGCTCTATCTCTGTGTTTCTTTTAGCTGCTGTAATTCTCCGTTATGAAGGATAATAAAGGAAAGGAAAACAAACTGTCCTATGATACAGAGTATGTTACCACATGAAATGTTGATTTCTTCTTCCTGTGGTGTTACTCTTTACTAAAAAGGGAAGAGGCTTGCCTGCAGTTTCTCAGTTGGATGAAACTTTGGTTTCTTGTGGGTTTCTTGATAGGGGGGGAGTTGGTTTTGATTCCTTTTAACTGTTGGTTCTTGATGTTTTTTTCACACCAAGGCTGTGATATTCTGTTTTGCTTTGCTGTCAGAGCAGTTAGGGACAAGCAGAGCAAAGCCCAGTTCAGTCCTCCAGCTGAACTGTCAGGTTTTTGGACTGCAGGATAGATGTTATAGTTGCTGGAGAGCAAAATGGGATCTCTGATGTGTCTGTTTTATTTTCGATATTTTTTAAAGCTGCTCAGCAGCTGAAACTTTGCTGTTACCTAACTCAAAATGTCACGTGGTAGAAAGCAAGCACTTAGGAGAAGAACAACTGAGCTGAATGAACCAGGCATGTGGCAAAGGTGTATTATGAAAACTTGAACAAATTATTTTAAACTTAAACAGGGGAAGTTCAGGTTGGATATAAGGAAGGAATTATTTACTATGAGGGTGCTGAGGCACTGGCACAGGGTGCCCAGAGAAGCTGTGGCTGCCCCATCCCTGGCAGTGTTCAAGGCCAGGTTGGACACAGAGGCTTGGAGCAAGCTGCTCTAGTGGAAGGTGTCCCTGCCCGTAGCAGGGGGCTGGAAATGGAGGAGCTTTAACATCCTTTCCTACACAAACCAGTCTCTGATTCTCTGATTCTATGAACTGCGCATTTTGTAATGTTCTCTGTTTCCACAGAATCCCATGCTGTTAATTCTTAAGTAGCTGATTATTAAGAGGTTGTTTCTAGCCAGTACTAGAGCTCAGCAGTTAGGTGGTAACAGCTTGACCAACAGCTATGTGAGATGAGGCAAATGTCGCAAAAAGACCAGGCATTGGGATGTTAAAGTGGTGTTAACAGAGTGTCTATGATTATTTCAGTTTGACCAAAGACATGACAGGGAAGGAAGATGTGTACCGAGGCCCGGCCATCAGAGCACTCTGCAGGATCACTGATGTAAGTCCAAATCACATCTCTGTCATGGGAGAGATGAGTGTGTTTAAAATAGAATAAAATAGAAAAGTACTAAAATAGAAAATTAAAATAGAAAAGCCCTCTCTTGCAGGGTGTATTCTTGTAGTGGTAATGGAATTTCTGCTGTAGGGAGGACAGCTCTGGAGCCTGCTGCAGATGCGAGGAGCTCTGTGGAGCTGGAGCACTGTAAACATGGAGTGAGAAGGCAGGAGCTTTGGAGCTCTGGTTTCTGATCTAAGATTGCTTTGCTGTAGACTTTGTTTCTGTCACTAAACCTCCAGGACCAGGCAATTGATACTAATCTCTCCCTTGCAGAACAGTTCATGATGCATTTTGAATATGCTGTGTGTGTATTTTTGCCTCATACTGCTTTTATGGTCTGCTTCCTAAGTATCAACACTTCTCTTTTTCCCCCTCACAGGCTACAATGCTACAAGCCATTGAGAGATATATGAAACAAGCCATTGTGGACAAAGTCCCCAGTGTGTCTAGTTCTGCACTGGTGTCTTCCTTAGTAAGTAAAGCAGTAGATGATTGGGAATCTGTGTGTTGTGTTGTGGGTAGGAGGCTACTCTGCTGCATTTGTAGCTCTGCTTGGCCTTTGTTTTGTTCTTTCTTCTTTTCCTTTTGAGATGTTTCTTTTCTTTCTCGTCTTCATCTGCTCACTGGAAAACAAGAAGCAGTGGTAGTGGAGTTTTCCTGTGACTCAGGCAGACTCTGTCCTCTCAAACTCCTTCCTTAATGTTCTCTTACCTTAGAGTACATCAGTTATAATAGCTAAGTGCAAAGTGCTCAGTCATCTCTCTATGCAGCCAGTGTAGGACGAGTTTCTCTGGGAAAGAGCCTTTAGAGGCTTGAGTTTAGAGTACTCAAGCACAGTGAAGACCATGAAAGTGTCTCTTGGTTTGGTGAGAGTAACTAAGAAACAGCCTGTGCTGTGGAAGAACTAACACAAGTGACTGTGAAGAAGTGTATGAATTCTGTGACAGGCAGTAAAAGCAGTTGGCTTTGTGCTCTGCAAAAGAAAAGATCCATGAAATTGCTGCCCTGCTGCAATTCAAGATCATTTTCGCTAATAGATAGAAGGGCAAGATGAAGTTCAGTCTGAAGGTGTTCCTCCCTTATTTGGGAGAAAAGGCTGGAAAATACCTTGCTAGGTTAATTCTTTAATAAAGAGGAGAATACAAATGAGAGCATGGGTAGTCTAAGACTGAGATGTAAGAAAACCAGTGGTTTATAGCTATACAGACGCTGGCTGCCTTGGTAAATCAAGAAGGCAGGAGGTAAAAGGTCCAGCTGAGGTGGAGTGAAGCCTCTGTTAGGACCCTGAGGGTGCAAAGTTGCATTAATACTAACAACTGAATTAATACTGACCTACTGGGATAACTGTAAGCAGGTGCATTCTCCTCCTATTGTCTTCAGTCCTGTTTGAACATAACTCTCCAAGTTACTTTTCTCTTCATTGAAACAAGTGCATCCATATAAACTATGGATGTGAGTTACTCTTTGTTACCTGTAGTACACAGCAAAGCTCTCAGTTCTCTCAAAGCCGGTAAAACAAGGCTTGTGGTACCTCACTGCTTCTGATTTTAGTTTGTCACCAGTCTCCATTTGTGGTTTCTTCCAGCATATGATGAAAATCAGCTACGACATAGTCAAGCGGTGGATCAATGAAGCTCAAGAAGCAGCTTCTAGTGACAACATCATGGTGCAGGTATGTTAGAGGGTGGTTGCTTCAGGAAGCAGTTAACACACTGGAGGGTTTTCACAGCATTCTGTGAGTTCTTAAAGTAAATTAAGGAGTAACTGGTTTTCCTTTTTTCTTTATTCTTTCAAAAATAACAGTGTTCAAGGCCAGGTTGGATGGGGCTTGGAGCAGCCTGATCTAGTGGAAAGTGTCCCTGCCTGTGGCAGGGGGTTGGAACTGGATGGTCATAAGGTCCTTTCCAACCCAATTCTATGATTCTGTTAGAATCATTGTATGATTCTGACTGTAACTTGAAGGAAACAACTACTTCAGAAACTCACAAGTTTGGTGATCCCAGTGCAAGATTCTTTTGAGGAGCTGGCTTTTCAGTACAGTGCTCTTGCCCTTTCCCTGCCAACCTTTTGATGGCTGGGATGCCACTGACTGTTTCACAGTAGTTGTCACAGAAAGGCTTTGAATCTGAGTTTTCAAAGAGCTTAAGAAATTATCTCTCTGCCACCCACAACACCAGCATCTCTTGCCTTGGCCTTCAGAACATTTGCAGTTACTATAGGCCCATGGAGATTAGCCCAGATATCAGTAAGATATCCATGTTAGTGAAATTATAATTGGTACAAATACTCTAAAGAGCTGTGGAAATGAAGGTGTTCTGTGTGTTCAGTCAGTGTTACAGACTAACCATCAAAACCAAGTCTGTTCTTATCCAGTGAGCAGCTTCATTAGTCATAGAATCCCAGACTGGTTTGGGTTGGAAGGGACCTTAAAGCTCATCCAGTTCCAATCCCTGCTACAGGCAGGGACACCTTCCTTAAATATAGAGGTCCGTGAATTACACAAACATGCTCTAACCAACATACAGGCAGAGACGAGCAGTGGGGGGGGAAACGAGTTATTATTTATTGGCCCAAGAAAGCAGCCACAACAAGTGCAGGCTGCAGCATGACATCCTCAGCACAGCTCCCTTGGGCCTGGCGCTGGCAGCAGGGCGCTACTCCTCCACACGTGGGGTGAGGCATGAGCAAGTGAAAGCCTTGCGCAGAGCCCTCAGCACTCTCCTGAAGCGGGAGAGTCGTCGCCGTGGGGCCGCTCCTTGGTCTGGAAGAGTGGCAATGCCTGTGGAGGAAGAAGAGCTGTAGGCAAGGGACTTCCTTTGGCAACCCGTTCCAGTGCCTCACCACCCTTACAGTAAAGAACTTCTCCTTAACAGCATCCTCATTGGCCTCCTTCAGATACTGGAAGGTCTGCTAGGAGGTCTCCACGCAGCCTTCGGCCCATGGAGGGGAGGCTGGGACACACCCGAACTCACGCAAACACTGCTGCCGGTCTGGCCTGGGTGCCACCCAACTCGGGCAAGTACCTGGCTGGTTCTCGCTGTCCTGAACTACAGCAGGCGACGTTGACGGTGACTCCACATCCAAGCTTTGTGCCACGTCTGGCTCTTTCACCTGCTGCTGCCTTGTTCCCTGGATGACAGTCACAGCCTTGCCCAGGTGTTTCCTCACAAAGCGTCTGAGCCTACCCTGCAGGGTAGCAAGAGCACAGGCAGGGGATGGGGGCAATGTCAGTGGGATGACACAGGCAGCACCAGAAATAGCCCTGTCACAAAACCTGGGAGCTGCCGTCCAAGGCCTTGGGATCCCCGGTGCCAACCACACGCGCCTCACTCACCTGGCGCCGAGAGTCCCGACACAAGGGAGAAGCTGCTGCATCTCCACTATCATCTGCTCCTGGAGGAATGTGGGATGTTCCAGGCTCTGTTGCAGGGATCTCAGTCAAGAAAGCAGCCACTTCATCCTCAGGCACTGTTGGGGAGGCAGCGGCTGCACTGGCCTCTCCCTGAGGCTCCGAAGCCACAGCAGACTCAACGTGCTCAGGTGCTGCAGGCGTCAGTGCTGCCATTGACACACCCAGGATTTGGGTCATGTCCTGATACTCCACCAGCTGCTGGCTGGCTCCCTGGACAACGGCCAGGCTCATGATCAGGACCTCTTCAGTGACGGTCCTTGCCATTTCTTCTACAACCACCTCACAGGCATCAGGGCTGAGCAGGGCAGGTACCTGCCTCTGTGCCTGTGGTGCTGCCTCCTGCTCGACGCAGGCAGGAGAAACTGGTGCCGGTTCCACCTCCTCCTGTGCCACTGGAGTGAGACGTGCGCGGTGCTCCTCTTCCTCCGCAGATGCAGCTAATGTAGAAGCTGTCGACTCAGTGGCTGTGGGTCCGGCTGGGATAGGAGACGTGTTCTGCAGGTCTCCACCTGCCTCCCCTGTCACTTCAATGTCCATGCTGCTGGGGAAGTCAGACCCCTCCTGGATATCGGCCTGGGGGTCCTGGAAGAGCTCTGGGACCGAGGGGTTGACCCAGAGGTTGCGTATGATGATCTCTTCCACTTGGGACAGCACTTTATCAATGTCCTCTACCCACTCTTTCTCCTCTTTGTCCACTGCCGCATCCAGCATTTGGGTCATGCCCTGAGGTTCCAGCAGCTGCTGGCTGGTTTCCTGATCCACTGCCACAGCCTGGACCAGAGGCTCCCTTGTGCTGAGCAGGGCTGCTCCCTGTGGAACCAACTCACAGGCATCTGGGCTGAGCAGGACAGATGCCTGACTCTCTGCCTCTGGTGCTGCCTCCGGTGCTGCCTCCTCATCACCATTGTGAGAAGAATCTGTTTCCTCTGCCTCCTCCTCGATCATATTCCAGAACTGGGAGCTTGCACCGACACTGGGTGTGACACGCACTTTTGCATCTCTTACTATGATGCTGTCGGAGGCAGGTGCATTGCACTGTGCTTCTGCTGCCAGAGCTTGACTGTCAAAGCCACAAGAGGCTGCGGTCTCTGCCTCCTCCTCAACAGCATCTCTGAAATGGACCTTCCTGAGGATGCTCTTGGGTGTGACCTTCATATCCATGTTGCTTTCTTTGTGGCTGTGCGGGGCAGGTGCCCGGCCCTGTGCTCGTCCTGCTGCAGCCTGCCTGCCGATGGCGGGAGAGGCTGGTGCCTCTATCACCTCGACACCAGCTCTGAAAGGAAGCTTCTTGACGCACCTGGATGGGAAATTCAGATCTGCGTCATTTTCTGCTGAGCTGTTCATGGCAGGTGCCTGGCGCTGGGCTTGTGCTGCAGCAGCCTGCCTGCTAAAGCCACGAGATGCTGGTGCTGGTGCCATGGGAACGAGAGGTGCCTGGTACTCCTCTTCCTCAGGAGCTCTGGCCAAGCGGCTCCTCCTGGCGTGTTGCAAAGCCTCGATGTTGCTGCGCAGGGCGGGCAGAGGCTTTGCAAGAACCTTCTTGTGCAGCCCCAGCAACTTGTCATTGAGGCTGCCCTCTCGCCCCGTCTTCCTGCTCTGGGAAGCAGCAGTGCTCGCACGGGTGTTAGGATCAGGAGCAGGCTGAGTGGCGGTGGCTTTGCTGCCGTTAGGTGCCCTGACAGTGTATCTTCTTGTCATTGCAGCCCTGCTGTATGCTGGGTCCTGGCATGCCACTGCCTGCTGGTAGGGTCCCCGGCTCTCAGCGCTGTTGTTGCGCAGGACCGCGCTCACATTTCTTGTGCCCTGCGCTGTGGCACAGGCTGTGGGCCTGTGTGGGGCAGGCTGCCAGCTCCGTGGCCTCGCAACAGTGCTGCCATGTGCGGGGATGTGGTGCTGCTGGGCAGCGGTTGTGCAAAGCTGCTTTTGGCTGTTGCTTGTCCTGCCGATGGCCATGTCAGTGAATCTGGCTGCAGGGGCAGAGGGTGCCCATGTCGGGCGAGGCAGCCTGCTGGCTTCTCTCACTGGCCGAGGTGGCGGCCGAGGTGTCCTTTCCACCACCACTGGCCGAGGAAGTGTCTGCTCCTCTGTCCTCATGCTGCGGGGCAGCACCGCTCTGCACCTCACGCTGCCCACCTGCAAGAGAAGTCGAGGAGAGAGGCTCTGTGATAGTGTCTCTTGCGCCCGTATCCCAGCTGTTGGGAGCTCATGCAGTTGGGCTCCCCTGCCAGCCCCACGGCAAGGCTCAGGCCCACAGGTGGCTGCTGCCTGCTCCCAGAGCTGGCTGGGGAAAGGGCTGGCCACCCGCCGGCCATGGCCCCAGCCCACAGCAGCCCCGGCATGCCCGTGGTTGGGAAGGTGTTTGGCCCTGTCTCCCTCGGGGTCCCTACCTGTTCCTGCTGGGTCTCGATGGGCTGATACCTTCGTTGGTAGGGCAGCTGTGGTACCGTGATCCCACGCCGCCCTTCCTCAGGCTGTGGCCTGTGGCCCACCTGCGGGCAGGAGGAGGAGGAAGAGGTGTGTGATGGAGGCGGCTGCCTTGGCACAGCAGCCCCCGCAGTGCCGGCAAGCCCGGCCCCGGCCCCGAGGCAGCTCCATGTGGCCCCGTCCCACCACCGGCCTCTCACTCCTGCCCCAGCCCTCACCTGGCGCCTCCTTTGCACTCCTGGCCTGCCCTCGGCAGGCTGGGAGCGGGCGTTCGATCCCTTGTCCACTGGCATCTTCTGTGTCCTCGGATGCAGACTTGCTGTGGATTCACAGGGCAACTGCCACCTCTAGGGTGCGCCAGGGCCTTAAATACCCCACATAAGAGTCGTAACAATGCCCCCGTGGTTTCCACGGAGACGCCGATGCCCTCACCAGTTCCAAAGGGTCCCAGCTCCTCATGGGCAACTCCACAGCAACCACTGAAGCTTTGTGACAGCGGCAGCATCGTGCCCATGGCCACTGGGCAGTCAGGGATGCACTTTTCTCCTCCCTGTTTTTTTCCTTGACAAGAAGAAAAGGGAACGGAGAAAAGAAAGACCGGTAAAAGAAGGAAAAAAACAACAAAAATAATGAAATCATTCTTGTGAGACCTCACCTGGAGTACTGTGTGCAGTTCTGGTTTACTCAACATAAAAAGAACATGAAACCAACACCCCCAAGTCCTTCTCCGCAGGGCTGCTCTGAATCTCTTCTCTGCCCAACCTGTAGCTGTGCCTGGGATTGGTCTGACCCAGCTGTAGGACCTTGCACTTGGCATGCTTAAACTTCATGAGGTTGGCATCAGCCCACCTCACAAGCATGTCGAGGTCCCTCTGCATGGCATTCCTTCCCTCCAGCCTCCATTTTTAACACCTACCCACACACCAAGGATCTTTGCTTTGAGGCTTTTTCTCATGTTAGAAACCATCCCTCCCTCACCTCGTGTTTCCTGAGGAGTACCTGTCAAATTTACCACTACTAGCTACTTGGTTTCAACAAATGCCATCCATAGCTGTACAGCAATGGAACAGTTTGTTAAGTAGCCTGTGCTCCCTTTTCTGGCATCCTTGGTTTTGTCTTACCTAAAAGGGATCTACTTGCTGCCTGAATTAAGACTGAACAGCAGAGGTCCAACCTACTTTGATGTTAAATACAACCTGACACACACGAAACCTGATCTACATAAACATCTGAAGAAAATCTTTCTTATCATGCTTCTAATTTAGCCCCAGACAAAAAGACACCCTTCTACCTCATCACTTCTTGGCCTATGTTTTCACTTCGTCTCAGCCATTCCCACTTTAGCTGGGCAAACACAAGTGTCTCTTTCATTGCACAGGGCTGTGATGGCCACAGATCAAGCAGCAGCTCTCACTTGGCACTCATGGAAAAAGTATTAAATGCTTCAGTGATATGTATCTCACTCCAGTTAGCAGCAAGTCAGAGGGAAGAACATAATACTAAAGCATAAACACCCCATTCTGGATCTCCTTAAAAAGCTACCTCCCAAATCTGTCAGGAAGAGGTACAAAACTTCTTTCACACTGAAAGCTATCAGAAATTAGAATCACAGCATCACAGAATGGCTTGGCTTTGAAAGGACCTTAAGCTCATCCAGTTCCAACCCCTTGCCAAAGGCAGGGACACCTCACACTAGACATGTCTCTCAAGGCTCTGTGCAACCTGGCCTTGAACACTGCCAAGGATGGAACATTCACCACTTCTCTGGCCTCATCACCCTCACAGTAAAGAACTTCTTCCTTATATTAGCCTTGGGAATATTCATTCTGGCTGGGAAGAAATGATAACACTTACCTGGTTCAGCAAGTAAAGGATTTTGGTAAGGATGTGCAGACATCTTCGTGGATTTATAGGGGTCTCGTTAAAGATACGAGCCTACAGACACAGCATAAAGAGAGTATTACAGTGTAACTCAACAATCATCATTTCTCTTTCATCATAAAAAGTAAAGCCGTTTGTTTTCAACCAAGTAGCTTTTCATTCTAAAAATGTGTCCCAGAGAACATATTCTTGGTGAGAACATCCTAAGAAAGCTAGATTAAACTTTGGATTTAGCCCAGTGTAAATTCCTTCTCTGATCTCTTTTGCAGAGTGTAAGAACTCAGAAGAGTTTTTATTCATTAATTTTTGTTCACTATAAACTGGCACCTCAGGTGTTTAGAGATTTGACTGAGGAATGTTGAACATGGAACTGTGTTGGAACTACAGAGTGCTTGGGACCTTTCTCATATCCATGTGTTGGAAGGGCGGGAGGGGTGGTTGATGTAAATGTGTTATTTGCTTTCCAAGAGTTAAAGTGTCAGTGCTCTTTGGATATTTGCTTTACAATAGCAAATAGATCAGAGGAAGTTGGGTTTAAAGCTTTTAAGTGATAACTGTGAGGCTTCTGCATTCAGATGTTTCACTTCTATCATGATTAACGTGGATTTTTGGTTTTAGTCTTATCTTACAAGATAGAGATATGTTTATTCTCCTGATTTGTTTGATAACTGACAGTAAGGCTATTCCCCAGTTATCAAACACAATTTAACTTGTGTGCTTTGTACACCACTGCTTTATCTTTGTATAGAAGTGGGGAAGAGGGTGTTCTATTTAAAAGCTTGCTCAAAATTTAAAGTTGAATATTTGAACTTTTATTTAACTTCAAAACTTGTAGGAAGTGTTTATTTATGCTTGCCATTGGAACAGGCTGCCCAGGGAGGTTGTGGAGTCTCCATCTTTGGAGACATTCAAAACCCGCCTGGACACATTCCTGTGTAACATTATGTAGGTGTTCCCGCTCCGGAAGCGGGACTGGACGAGATGATCTTTTGAGGTCTCTTCCAATCTCTAGCATACTGTGTGTAAACTAGAACTAATTGCAACAGATAGGTAGCCGCTTAGATTGAAGTCAGTTGTTTTACGTTAATTAAATATAGAGGTCCGTGAATTACACAAACATGCTCTAACCAACATACAGGCAGAGACGAGCAGTGGGGGGGGAAACGAGTTATTATTTATTGGCCCAAGAAAGCAGCCACAACAAGTGCAGGCTGCAGCATGACATCCTCAGCACAGCTGCCTTGGGCCTGGCGCTGGCAGCAGGGCGCTACTCCTCCACACGTGGGGTGAGGCATGAGCAAGTGAAAGCCTTGCGCAGAGCCCTCAGCACTCTCCTGAAGCGGGAGAGTCGTCGCCGTGGGGCCGCTCCTTGGTCTGGAAGAGTGGCAATGCCTGTGGAGGAAGAAGAGCTGTAGGCAAGGGACTTCCTTTGGCAACCCGTTCCAGTGCCTCACCACCCTTACAGTAAAGAACTTCTCCTTAACAGCATCCTCATTGGCCTCCTTCAGATACTGGAAGGTCTGCTAGGAGGTCTCCACGCAGCCTTCGGCCCATGGAGGGGAGGCTGGGACACACCCGAACTCACGCAAACACTGCTGCCGGTCTGGCCTGGGTGCCACCCAACTCGGGCAAGTACCTGGCTGGTTCTCGCTGTCCTGAACTACAGCAGGCGACGTTGACGGTGACTCCACATCCAAGCTTTGTGCCACGTCTGGCTCTTTCACCTGCTGCTGCCTTGTTCCCTGGATGACAGTCACAGCCTTGCCCAGGTGTTTCCTCACAAAGCGTCTGAGCCTACCCTGCAGGGTAGCAAGAGCACAGGCAGGGGATGGGGGCAATGTCAGTGGGATGACACAGGCAGCACCAGAAATAGCCCTGTCACAAAACCTGGGAGCTGCCGTCCAAGGCCTTGGGATCCCCGGTGCCAACCACACGCGCCTCACTCACCTGGCGCCGAGAGTCCCGACACAAGGGAGAAGCTGCTGCATCTCCACTATCATCTGCTCCTGGAGGAATGTGGGATGTTCCAGGCTCTGTTGCAGGGATCTCAGTCAAGAAAGCAGCCACTTCATCCTCAGGCACTGTTGGGGAGGCAGCGGCTGCACTGGCCTCTCCCTGAGGCTCCGAAGCCACAGCAGACTCAACGTGCTCAGGTGCTGCAGGCGTCAGTGCTGCCATTGACACACTCAGGATTTGGGTCATGTCCTGATACTCCACCAGCTGTTGGCTGGTTCCCTCTCCTGTTGCGTCCATGCCCATGCTGGTGGGGCAGCTGGATCCCTCCTGGGGATCTGCATGGGTGTCCTGGAAGTGGTCTGGGACTGAGAGGTTGACCCAGAGGTTGCGTATGGTGATCTCTTCCACTTCAGAAAGCTCTTTGTCCATGGCCTCTTCCCATTCCTCTTCTTCCTTTCCGTCCAACTCCTCATCGTCAGCTTCCTCGCCCAAGGTCCCTGGCGCTTCCTGTAAACACACAACAGGGATGCAGAAAATGAGTTGAGGGAGCAGTGGCTGGCCACAGGCAGAGGAAGGCTCATCCCGCTGTCCTGTCCCATCCTGTCCTTGGCACTCACCTGCCTGTGACTGGGCATCCGTCCCCGCCGCAAGGCGAAACGAGGCCTCTGGCCCTCCTGCTGCTGGAGCTCCCTTTCCACAGAGCTGCCCAGCAGCCAAGGCAGGCTGGCTCTCCTTTGCATGTCGAGCCTGTGACTGGTGTGGGCCATGCTGCTCCTCTCCGGCTCCTCCAGAGGCTCTGGCATAGGGAGCAGCAGGAATCTCTCTGCCACAGGTAGCCCATGCGAGACTCCTGCTTGAATCTCCACAGTATCTCCGGTGCCAGCCATATGTGCCTCGCTCACCGGGTGCCCAGATTCACGATCAAAGGCAGAAGCTCCTGCTTCTCCTTCGTTGGCTGCTTCTGGGGCAGAGTGGCATGCTCCAGCCTCTGGCACAGGCATCTCAGGCCATGAAGCTGCCACTTCCTCTCTCTGTGTTTCTGGCAAGACAATGGCTGTTTCAGCCTCTCCTTGATGGTCTCCACACACAGGAGACTCAGTGTCCCCAGTCCACACAGATGCCATTAGTGCCATTGCCTCATCTGAGTTTTGGGACATGTCCCGATGTTCCGCCAGCTGCTGGCTGGCTCCCTGGACAACGGCCAGGCTCATGATCAGGACCTCTTCAGAGATGGTCCTGGCCGTTTCTTCTACAACCACCTCACAGGCATCAGGGCTGAGCAGGGCAGGTACCTGCCTCTGTGCCTGTGGTGCTGCCTCCTGCTCGACGCAGGCAGGAGAAACTGGTGCCGGTTCCACCTCCTCCTGTGCCACTGGAGTGAGACGTGCGCGGTGCTCCTCTTCCTCCGCAGATGCAGCTAATGTAGAAGCTGTCGACTCAGTGGCTGTGGGTCCGGCTGGGATAGGAGACGTGTTCTGCAGGTCTCCACCTGCCTCCCCTGTCACTTCAATGTCCATGCTGCTGGGGAAGTCAGACCCCTCCTGGATATCGGCCTGGGGGTCCTGGAAGAGCTCTGGGACCGAGGGGTTGACCCAGAGGTTGCGTATGATGATCTCTTCCACTTGGGACAGCACTTTATCAATGTCCTCTACCCACTCTTTCTCCTCTTTGTCCACTGCCGCATCCAGCATTTGGGTCATGCCCTGAGGTTCCAGCAGCTGCTGGCTGGTTTCCTGATCCACTGCCACAGCCTGGACCAGAGGCTCCCTTGTGCTGAGCAGGGCTGCTCCCTGTGGAACCAACTCACAGGCATCTGGGCTGAGCAGGACAGATGCCTGACTCTCTGCCTCTGGTGCTGCCTCCGGTGCTGCCTCCTCATCACCATTGTGAGAAGAATCTGTTTCCTCTGCCTCCTCCTCGATCATATTCCAGAACTGGGAGCTTGCACCGACACTGGGTGTGACACGCACTTTTGCATCTCTTACTATGATGCTGTCGGAGGCAGGTGCATTGCACTGTGCTTCTGCTGCCAGAGCTTGACTGTCAAAGCCACAAGAGGCTGCGGTCTCTGCCTCCTCCTCAACAGCATCTCTGAAATGGACCTTCCTGAGGATGCTCTTGGGTGTGACCTTCATATCCATGTTGCTTTCTTTGTGGCTGTGCGGGGCAGGTGCCCGGCCCTGTGCTCGTCCTGCTGCAGCCTGCCTGCCGATGGCGGGAGAGGCTGGTGCCTCTATCACCTCGACACCAGCTCTGAAAGGAAGCTTCTTGACACACCTGGATGGGAAATTCAGATCTGCGTCATTTTCTGCTGAGCTGTTCATGGCAGGTGCCTGGCGCTGGGCTTGTGCTGCAGCAGCCTGCCTGCTAAAGCCACGAGATGCTGGTGCTGGTGCCATGGGAACGAGAGGTGCCTGGTACTCCTCTTCCTCAGGAGCTCTGGCCAAGCGGCTCCTCCTGGCGTGTTGCAAAGCCTCGATGTTGCTGCGCAGGGCGGGCAGAGGCTTTGCAAGAACCTTCTTGTGCAGCCCCAGCAACTTGTCATTGAGGCTGCCCTCTCGCCCCGTCTTCCTGCTCTGGGAAGCAGCAGTGCTCGCACGGGTGTTAGGATCAGGAGCAGGCTGAGTGGCGGTGGCTTTGCTGCCGTTAGGTGCCCTGACAGTGTATCTTCTTGTCATTGCAGCCCTGCTGTATGCTGGGTCCTGGCATGCCACTGCCTGCTGGTAGGGTCCCCGGCTCTCAGCGCTGTTGTTGCGCAGGACCGCGCTCACATTTCTTGTGCCCTGCGCTGTGGCACAGGCTGTGGGCCTGTGTGGGGCAGGCTGCCAGCTCCGTGGCCTCGCAACAGTGCTGCCATGTGCGGGGATGTGGTGCTGCTGGGCAGCGGTTGTGCAAAGCTGCTTTTGGCTGTTGCTTGTCCTGCCGATGGCCATGTCAGTGAATCTGGCTGCAGGGGCAGAGGGTGCCCATGTCGGGCGAGGCAGCCTGCTGGCTTCTCTCACTGGCCGAGGTGGCGGCCGAGGTGTCCTTTCCACCACCACTGGCCGAGGAAGTGTCTGCTCCTCTGTCCTCATGCTGCGGGGCAGCACCGCTCTGCACCTCACGCTGCCCACCTGCAAGAGAAGTCGAGGAGAGAGGCTCTGTGATAGTGTCTCTTGCGCCCGTATCCCAGCTGTTGGGAGCTCATGCAGTTGGGCTCCCCTGCCAGCCCCACGGCAAGGCTCAGGCCCACAGGTGGCTGCTGCCTGCTCCCAGAGCTGGCTGGGGAAAGGGCTGGCCACCCGCCGGCCATGGCCCCAGCCCACAGCAGCCCCGGCATGCCCGTGGTTGGGAAGGTGTTTGGCCCTGTCTCCCTCGGGGTCCCTACCTGTTCCTGCTGGGTCTCGATGGGCTGATACCTTCGTTGGTAGGGCGGCTGTGGTACCGTGATCCCACGCCGCCCTTCCTCAGGCTGTGGCCTGTGGCCCACCTGCGGGCAGGAGGAGGAGGAAGAGGTGTGTGATGGAGGCGGCTGCCTTGGCACAGCAGCCCCCGCAGTGCCGGCAAGCCCGGCCCCGGCCCCGAGGCAGCTCCATGTGGCCCCGTCCCACCACCGGCCTCTCACTCCTGCCCCAGCCCTCACCTGGCGCCTCCTTTGCACTCCTGGCCTGCCCTCGGCAGGCTGGGAGCGGGCGTTCGATCCCTTGTCCACTGGCATCTTCTGTGTCCTCGGATGCAGACTTGCTGTGGATTCACAGGGCAACTGCCACCTCTAGGGTGCGCCAGGGCCTTAAATACCCCACATAAGAGTCGTAACAATGCCCCCGTGGTTTCCACGGAGACGCCGATGCCCTCACCAGTTCCAAAGGGTCCCAGCTCCTCATGGGCAACTCCACAGCAACCACTGAAGCTTTGTGACAGCGGCAGCATCGTGCCCATGGCCACTGGGCAGTCAGGGATGCACTTTTCTCCTCCCTGTTTTTTTCCTTGACAAGAAGAAAAGGGAACGGAGAAAAGAAAGACCGGTAAAAGAAGGAAAAAAACAACAAAAATAATGAAATCATTCTTGTGAGACCTCACCTGGAGTACTGTGTGCAGTTCTGGTTTACTCAACATAAAAAGAACATGAAACCAACACCCCCAAGTCCTTCTCCGCAGGGCTGCTCTGAATCTCTTCTCTGCCCAACCTGTAGCTGTGCCTGGGATTGGTCTGACCCAGCTGTAGGACCTTGCACTTGGCATGCTTAAACTTCATGAGGTTGGCATCAGCCCACCTCACAAGCATGTCGAGGTCCCTCTGCATGGCATTCCTTCCCTCCAGCCTCCATTTTTAACACCTACCCACACACCAAGGATCTTTGCTTTGAGGCTTTTTCTCATGTTAGAAACCATCCCTCCCTCACCTCGTGTTTCCTGAGGAGTACCTGTCAAATTTACCACTACTAGCTACTTGGTTTCAACAAATGCCATCCATAGCTGTACAGCAATGGAACAGTTTGTTAAGTAGCCTGTGCTCCCTTTTCTGGCATCCTTGGTTTTGTCTTACCTAAAAGGGATCTACTTGCTGCCTGAATTAAGACTGAACAGCAGAGGTCCAACCTACTTTGATGTTAAATACAACCTGACACACACGAAACCTGATCTACATAAACATCTGAAGAAAATCTTTCTTATCATGCTTCTAATTTAGCCCCAGACAAAAAGACACCCTTCTACCTCATCACTTCTTGGCCTATGTTTTCACTTCGTCTCAGCCATTCCCACTTTAGCTGGGCAAACACAAGTGTCTCTTTCATTGCACAGGGCTGTGATGGCCACAGATCAAGCAGCAGCTCTCACTTGGCACTCATGGAAAAAGTATTAAATGCTTCAGTGATATGTATCTCACTCCAGTTAGCAGCAAGTCAGAGGGAAGAACATAATACTAAAGCATAAACACCCCATTCTGGATCTCCTTAAAAAGCTACCTCCCAAATCTGTCAGGAAGAGGTACAAAACTTCTTTCACACTGAAAGCTATCAGAAATTAGAATCACAGCATCACAGAATGGCTTGGCTTTGAAAGGACCTTAAGCTCATCCAGTTCCAACCCCTTGCCAAAGGCAGGGACACCTCACACTAGACATGTCTCTCAAGGCTCTGTGCAACCTGGCCTTGAACACTGCCAAGGATGGAACATTCACCACTTCTCTGGCCTCATCACCCTCACAGTAAAGAACTTCTTCCTTATATTAGCCTTGGGAATATTCATTCTGGCTGGGAAGAAATGATAACACTTACCTGGTTCAGCAAGTAAAGGATTTTGGTAAGGATGTGCAGACATCTTCGTGGATTTATAGGGGTCTCGTTAAAGATACGAGCCTACAGACACAGCATAAAGAGAGTATTACAGTGTAACTCAACAATCATCATTTCTCTTTCATCATAAAAAGTAAAGCCGTTTGTTTTCAACCAAGTAGCTTTTCATTCTAAAAATGTGTCCCAGAGAACATATTCTTGGTGAGAACATCCTAAGAAAGCTAGATTAAACTTTGGATTTAGCCCAGTGTAAATTCCTTCTCTGATCTCTTTTGCAGAGTGTAAGAACTCAGAAGAGTTTTTATTCATTAATTTTTGTTCACTATAAACTGGCACCTCAGGTGTTTAGAGATTTGACTGAGGAATGTTGAACATGGAACTGTGTTGGAACTACAGAGTGCTTGGGACCTTTCTCATATCCATGTGTTGGAAGGGCGGGAGGGGTGGTTGATGTAAATGTGTTATTTGCTTTCCAAGAGTTAAAGTGTCAGTGCTCTTTGGATATTTGCTTTACAATAGCAAATAGATCAGAGGAAGTTGGGTTTAAAGCTTTTAAGTGATAACTGTGAGGCTTCTGCATTCAGATGTTTCACTTCTATCATGATTAACGTGGATTTTTGGTTTTAGTCTTATCTTACAAGATAGAGATATGTTTATTCTCCTGATTTGTTTGATAACTGACAGTAAGGCTATTCCCCAGTTATCAAACACAATTTAACTTGTGTGCTTTGTACACCACTGCTTTATCTTTGTATAGAAGTGGGGAAGAGGGTGTTCTATTTAAAAGCTTGCTCAAAATTTAAAGTTGAATATTTGAACTTTTATTTAACTTCAAAACTTGTAGGAAGTGTTTATTTATGCTTGCCATTGGAACAGGCTGCCCAGGGAGGTTGTGGAGTCTCCATCTTTGGAGACATTCAAAACCCGCCTGGACACATTCCTGTGTAACATTATGTAGGTGTTCCCGCTCCGG